AAAAAAAAAATCTAGGCGGCAGCACTTTGTTGGCTCTGAAGGTGGGTGGGTTGTATGAACACAATTGATGAGCAGGGTGTGTTTCAAAGTAAGAGATGTCCTGCCCTCCATCCCAGCATAATGGGCAGGTGCGGGTTTTCATGAATGATTGGAAAGAGGTTTTCTGTGAGTTTTTGGGTCACAGAACTCTCGAGGTGGCTGAAGCAGAAGTGCCATATTTCTGCCCAGTTCCTTTTTTTAAAAAAAAAGAGGTTTGACACATGCAGAGTGCAAAGCAAGCAGGAACAATGTCTCTGAGCAAACATAGATTACAAAGAGATCCTGTCTGTCAGCAGGAAACACTCCAGAAAGGAGCGATCCCTGTTCAGGAAGGAATTGCTCACCGTCAGCAGGCATTCTTTACCTGGGTGACACCGTATTTGACACCCAGAACAGCCCACCAGCTTTTGCATTCTTGTTGGGAGCTGTGCACTTCCAAACTGTTTAATGGCTGACAGTATCTATTCGGCCGTTCTTTATCACAACTGTAAACTATAGGGAGTGCTCTGGGCACTTCATTTTCATGAAATATGAGGCGATGCTATTGTCAAGCCAACAGAAGAGTTGATGACAAATTCCTCTTTCGGCTCCAGTTCAGAAGCGGGTTTTGGCATGATGCATGGGGACAGCAACATGTGCCATCATCAGGGGGCTGGTAAAATTGATGAAGATAGCATATCTGGGAAAGATAAACATGCTGTAGTCAGCACGATTAGGGCAAAGAGGCATCTCTCCAGAGCTTTGGACTTAGGAACACACAATGGCAGGCAGCAGCACGTGGCAGGAAATAACCAACCCGCTTTACTCTCATCTTAATCAGGTCACAGAGTGGCATCTCTTAGATAGAGAGCATTGGGAAGAAGAAATATTCTTGTTTTCTTGAGTTTCTGTTGAGGAATGAAGCAATATGAATTGACTTGCTGCTTAGTTAATTCTGCTTGCAGCTCTGAATGTTGCCTTCTAAAACCCCATTCCTAATATTTGTGATTTATTTAAAATCAAGGGTTTCTTCGCACTTTATATTTTCTAGTTACACATCAAAGATGTTTTTAAATGCACATTCAAAAATATGAAAGTTAAACATTACCTACAAGTGCTTGGAAATACAGGTTTCATGCAGCTGCATCATGTTAGGAAGTTCCCTTGAAAACACTGCTTATTGGAAGCCTGGGTTTGTTGCTGTGTAATCTGCCAAAGAGTCCTAAATCACCTTTGGTTTCACTGGGATATGACTCTCCAGTGAGTGTGCTTAGAATTTGCACCCTATGGGCTGCTGTGCATCTTATGCAAAGTCAGTGCCCAAGAACAGAACATCTGCCTGGTCCCTTTCAGGCTGTCTTGCCTCTGGAGGAGCAAGGTGTGCATAAAATGGAGCAAAGTCCTGTCATCCTTCTGTTTTATCTGGAAAATGTCCGAGTACATCATGTGCTTTCACAGACAAAGAGGCATTTTGTGTCTCTGTCTGTACTAATGGGTAATGTTGAATCAGCTGGAGCCCAAAGGAAGTTCTCTTCTTTGATTTCTGAAGAAGACCTTCTAAGGCCCCTTCCCACTGGTGTCTTAGAAGGTTTACTGCATACATAGATGGTTGACATGAACACAGCATGTTATCAATACAGCAAAAGGAAACATGCAGGTCTTTTCACCTGCTTGGGGGCCCCACCGTGTCCAGCTGGGCATGGTCTCGTTTAAGACATGGCACCCCCATGGATGACCAGTCCTGCTTTCCATAGTGGAGGGGCAACCATGACTTGGGCAACCCAAAGGGTTTTTATACTCAGGCCTGTCGACATTGAAACTGGCAGGGAGGAATGGAAAAGACTGGACACACTCACCCTCCCAGAGGAGGGAGGCTCATACATGCATGAATGGGGCTGACTTTTTCTCCGACCAGGTGAGCATATTATCATCTTAATAAAATAAGCTAACCTGAGAACAATAGGTTTCTAAGTACAAGGTGCAGGCATGCTGTTTCTTTCTTGGACTGTGGCTCCCCCTGGGATGGGCTAGTGACATGAGAGTCATGCAACCGTGTATCAATGTATTTTCTGCAGCACATTTCCGAGGGTGGACCAAGAAGCCTTCTGTGGGTGTGCTGGGAGAGGCTGTGGGCTCACAGAATGCATGTCCACCCATGCCCCAAACATGCCCCCTTGGAGGGGTGTGTGGAACTGTGCCAGATCTAGAGCTGATGACATCAAGAGGAGGAAAATAGATAGAAAGAGAGAGAAGGAAAGGAAAAGAAAAGAAAAGGAAGGGGGGGGAATGCTGCTTCCCCCTTTACTTCCGCCTTGCCAGCAGGGCTTTGGGTTCTTCAAAAGCTCCAGGGCAGGGGAGCTGGTCGCAGCTGGCAGGATTGCTGTGTAAGTGGTTGAAGCTCCCTGACTTTGAAGTGCAGTTTTTCTTGAGGGTGTTTGTTTGCTTGCTTAATTTTTATTTTTATACACGGATGGCTCCTTAGCCTGTCTTCATTGTTATGAGCTGTCCTGAGCCCTTGGACAGAAGGCCGACTAGGTGCATGGGAAATCAATCAGCAAATAACAGAGTGAACAAACAGACGAAGCAGCTGTAGAGCCACAAGACTGCAGATGTGCCCTGTTAATGCACATAAAGAACCAAATCTCTGAGCATGTGTTTGGTTGGCAGGTCTACAAGTAGTGCTCGTCTTCTCCTTCTCCTGCTGCAGATGCCCCTCTGACTGTGCAGTCCTTCTCCATCTCATCAGGCATGCTGTGCTGCTGTTGCCAGGCAGTGGCTCTTTTCTTTCTTTCTTATCCTGACTTCTGCTGTGTAATCTATGGGTGACAAGGGAGTTTGGGCAAAGTCCATCTATCTTATAGAGAAGACGCTGTGTTTCTTTCTTACAGGAGCACCTGACAGACTTGAAAGAGGAACTGGATAAAGACGAGTGCAAACAGGAGCCTGAAGTCATCTACGAAACCAACTGTCACTGGGAAGGGTGTGCAAAAGAATATGACACTCAGGAGCAACTTGTCCATGTGAGTGATGTCAGGAAAGAGACCCAGGTCATATGTTGTGGCTCTTCTGCTCCCTTCCTATCGTGATATCTTGGAACCAACAGCACAGTGGTAAATTTGGAAGGGCAAGTGCTCATCATGATAGTCCCTGCAGAAGAGCTGTATGAATACTGTCTGATCCTGTTTATATCCCAATATTTGAAATCCAAATTGGGACTGACTGGGACTGAGCTGATTTGGAGGTGGCCTGAAATGATTTGTTCTTGGGTTTCTCCACTATACCACAGAGCCAGAATTCAAATGATGAGCCACATACATATGGAAACCCAGCCAGATCATGGCAACCTTCCAGATACACTTGATGGTACAAAATAATTCTATCGATTATGTTGTGTTTTTCTTCAGCATCTGTGAGTTAAGAATGCTGGGAAACTATATATATCCTGCTGGGATAATTAAGTTTCCTGGGGAGGTGGGGTCTCTTCTTATACATAAATTGAGGAGGTCACAAAATTTATAGCAACTTGGAAAGGCTTAATCTCTCCTAGACTTTTAAACAAATTCCTGAGTGATGCAATCTGGTGCTGTGTAGGCATGTGTGAGCATGCACATCCCAAAGGAGGGCTTGCTCCAGAATTATTTTCTTCCCTGGTGCTCAAATGGATGGTGGGAAAAGCAGGACGGAGCTCTACGTTTAGGTGTTGCGTAGAAGAAAGAAATTTGCCTTCATGTGTTCACCTGAAGGTGGCTGTCCTCCCTACACTCTGCCCTAGACTACATGATAGTGTTTGCCCCAGTGAGACAGGATAGGTTCGTATCAGAGCAGGACTTCAAACCTGCTGGATCTCTGTAATGCATTAGATGGGTCACCACAAACTCCAGTTCAACTGTCTGTTGAATATCCTACTGCGGAAAGACAGCTCCTAGAGTGAGAAATGGAAAGCAAGTCACCATGTAAATGGTGTTTAGGTATGTTGATTCCAGAAGAAGCACAAATGAAAGAGAGGAACAGGAGACCCCAGCAAGTGGTTTTCTCCTGGCTGCTACAGAATTTTGCTCTGTACTGTGCTTAGAGTGTTGCACTTGGACATGGTGACATGGATCCCAGTCCATCCTCAGATGTTCGGCTTGGTGGGTAGGTAAAGTTACTACCAGGGAAAATGGTTTTAGTATCCTGGCTTAGCACTGCAGAAGCAAGCCTCTTCTCTTGCACTCAGTCTCTTCTACCTTTCTTTCCCCTCTTGTACAAGTTGATTGCTCATCTGCCAACCAGTTGCTGGTTTTTACATTTTTTATTAAAAATTTTATTATGCCCCAAAAGACCAAAAGAACTCTTGCCATTTTGTGCAAACTGAGCAAATAACAGTTTGCATAATCTGCAGATTTCCCTCTTTGTGATATACTACTTTGCCAAAAGCCAGGAAATAATGTAAACAGCTGCAGTGGTCACGTTGCAGGAAGGTGGTAGTGGGGGAGGATGGAGGAAAGAATTGTAAGCAGAAGACTTATTTACTTCATGCCAGATCATGATTTGGCATTTATGTCTAAATGGACCCATGATCTGACATGTCTATGACATCTAAACAGATCCATATTATTACAGTGGTGCCTCAATTTACGAACTTAATTGGTTCTGGAACTCCAGTCATAACTCAAAATGATCGTAAGTCAAAGCACCATTTCCCATTGAAATGCAATTAATCCATTCCAGCAGAAGAAAAAAAATTGCACCCAAAAAATCACTGCAAGACCCATTGGAAATGCGATTAATCCGTTCTGGCTGAAAAGGGGGCGGGGAGAGAAAAGCAAGCAAAGAGTGCAATACCCATCGGAAAAGCAAAAAAAGCAAAGCAAAAAAGCAAGCAAAGTGTGCAAGACCCATCGGAAACACAAAAAAGCAAAGCAAAAAGCAAGCAAAGTGTACAAAACCCATCGGAAATGCAAAAAAGCAAAGCAAAAAGCAAGTGAAGCATGCAAGATCCATTGGAAATGCAAAAAAGGAAAGCAAAAAGCAAGCGAAGCGAGCAAGGCCTATTAGAAATGCAAAAAAGCAAAGTGAAAAGCAAGCAAAGCATGTAAGACCCATTGGAAATGCAAAAAAAGCAAAGAAGAAAGCAAGCAAACCCCTCGAGACCCATCAGAAATTGGGGGAACCCAAAAAGCAAGCAAACCCCCCGACTCATCGGAAACGGGGGGAAAGCCCAAAAAGCAAGCAAACCCTCAAGACCCATAGGAAATGGGGGGAACCCAAAAAGCAAGCAAACCTCACAAGACCCATAGGAAATGGGGGGAACCAAAAAAGCAAGCAACCCCCCAGGACCCATCAGAAATGGGGGGAAACACACAAAAAAACACAAACTCCCCAAGACCCATCACAGCACAGAAACAAACCCCCCAGCTCAAAACCACAGTGCAAAACCCACCCAGAACAAAAAGCAGAAAGCAGCACCTTACCTTACCAGGCAGTCCGAAGCCTCCTCCAGTCGCACTCACTTTAACCTTTGGGGCAAAAGAGCTACAAAGAAGCAGCCTCTTCGCCTACCAATAGTTAGCAATTTGAATTTCCCGCCTTTTCCCCCTGCCTTTTTCTGTTCATAACTGGAAGCTCCCGCCGGAAGTCGAAGCAGAATTTTGCGACCGGAGCTGGTCGTAACTCGAAATGGTCGTAAGCCGAGAAGTTCATAAGTCGAGGCACCACTGTATAGGGAAAGAATGGGATGGGTTTTTTTAAAAAAAAATTAAAAGCAATGGGGGTGGGGATGTAGTGTTGCTCATTGCAGCCCTAGAGCAAGTAGAATGGATAAGGGGATTGGTCTCAAGATCTCCAGTAGGTAACACAAAGAGGTACTTGGGTAGCACACCAGTATAGGCAATAATCAATGGAGGTGTAAGCAGGACACTCTAGAATGAGTGGTTAGGCAACAGTGTGTTAAGAGCTGTTGACCAAGATGTACACAAAATAGAATGCCTTCCTTCATTTTTTTAATCCAGCTTTTTAATGAGGGTTTGCTTTCTCCAGAACCTTGCTTCTCAACAGTGATAAAATCCTTCATCTCAGTGGCATACACAGTTGCAACCTGCATGCTAGACCTGAATGTTGAATGGAAAAATGCTCAGAATACAAGAAACCATCCAAGTATTAAATTTTTAAAGGTTTCCATTGGATCTGTAGGGGAGGAAGCCTTTATTTTTAGTAATTAAAGAAAGAATAAACCCCAGAAGCATTATACAGCAAGAGCAATAGTGTCACCAGACTTCTTAAAATTCAAGTGTGTGGTTGTCCCTCAGCCAGCAAAACGGGAATTGAAATAGGAATAATCAGTAATATATAGAGCTAGGTGATGCCACTTCGCTTCTGACTCTAAAGTGTTGTTTTTTGCATCAGCTCCAGAGGCAGAGTTTCCGCAGTGAGCATCCAGGTCATTTCAAATACATATATTTATTCTTTCTTTGACTCGACTATAGAAAGTATAGTTTGCTAGTGTTAAAACAGACTTGCAGAATTGTTGGATCTGTCAGATTTTATCAGGAGTTAGAAATTCAATATAAAATTTGGTCAAAGGTATCTTACTTGCTAGTTTGCAGACTTGCTAAATTTCCACCCGGATCTGGCCTTCTACAGTTACAAGTGGAGGTATGGAGAAGGAGCCTTAACAGCTATATGCTCTACTAATTACTTTCTTCTGAACTTTGTTGGCTTTCTCAAAGATTCACTTAACTCATTGAATCAATAGTTCCACACCATCCAGATGGATGGAAAACTGTTATTTCATATCCACTATTACTTGGTGGACTAGATACAGATTCAGGCAAGTCTAAGTGGCAGAGGAACTGTGCCCTTCCATCCCCACATTTCAACTGCAGCCCCAACAATTTTTTTAAAATGCTATACTGAGAGTTGGGGTTTATGCAACAAGGTAAGCCCAGTTCCCACTCTTACTCTGACACAAAAGTCAACCCCCTTCAGGAGGGTTCCCTGGCCATTTAGCGGTTTTGGGTGGCTTTAGAGATCCTTGGTCAGGTGAGGGTGGAGAAATTTGGGTGTACCGGTATCTGAATCAAAGCAATTCAGCAGTAAATTGCTAATAGAATAGACCAATGGAATCAGTGGAACCTATGGAGGAGTTGACTCGCCAAATCCCCACTGATTCAATGGTCCTACTCTATTTGTGAGTTACTACTGGATTTCAACCAATAATTAATTAAAATCTTTTTTATACTATCACTCAAGGTAAACTCTCCTAAAAAACCTTGCAAGAAAACAGTTTGGAACAGTAAAATCAAAAAATACAACTAACTAGAACAGCAGCATATAAAGCTCTAACATAGCAAGAGTAAAAACATTTCACAAAATAAATACAGACATCTATTCCTTTAAAAGCAGGATAGAATATCCGTATCTTTCAAGTCTACTTAAACCAGAGGGGAAGCCACGTGTAACAAGACTGTGAGTCTCCTTGATGAAAGTGCCTCAGTTTTGCTGAATTCCTTGTGTAACAATCCCGTTTCTTCTTTTCTCATCTTCTAGCACATTAATAATGATCACATTCATGGGGAAAAGAAGGAGTTTGTCTGTCGTTGGCAGGAGTGTACACGGGAGCAGAAGCCCTTCAAGGCACAGTACATGCTGGTGGTACATATGCGAAGGCACACTGGAGAAAAGCCCCACAAGTGCACGGTAAGACAACAGTGCCATCAACCTGCATGGTATATTGGTATTGAAATGGGTTAGGCCATCATCTTCACATAAGCACAGAACAAAACTCTCTGTGAGCATATTAAGAATTGCATGCTTAGTAAACTGGATAATATCCATGAATAAGTCAAGCAGCAGTGAAAAAAAAGTCTTACGCCTGTTTTTTGCCATTAGGTCTAATTGGCATGTAAGGTGCCAAATAACTAGGGATGTGGTCCAGACAGTCTGTCTTGGCATGGTGAGACAGCCTGTCAAACATTCTCCACCCTGTCCCAAGAGGTTTCACCTCCAGAATGTGACCAAGATGCCAAGCACTTCCTTTGCCATGTTTTCGGCATTTTGTGCAGTGTGCCTCAGAAGAGGATAGTACTTTTACCATTCTGAATCTACAAGACACAGAAAGAGCAGGCACAAAAAGATCCACTTATTGACACAAACAACCCATCCACTGCTACTACTTTTACTTTGAGATAATAATTATTGCATTTTCAATTACTGTGCCTTTTATAGAAATGCACAAAATCCAGTTCTGAAAAGTCACTCCATCTCTCTTGAGGCTACCAGCAACAAAATCTCTCTCTCTCTCTTTCTCTGTTTGTGTGTGTGTGTCTGTGTGTACACACATACGTACATGGAAGTTACATGTGTCTGCATGTACAAATACTGGTCTTACTGGATTTATATACAAAAAAAATTACACATGTGTTCTAGCAAATGTGTGAAGACTGGAACATGTAACTATGTATGATACAACTGTCCAATCATCCTTATCCACTATCCCATGCATCCTTGATGTGTACAGTTCAGGATACAGCTTCTACAAGCAGAGAACAGCTGAACAGCAAAAGAAGCTTGCACTAAAAGCACAGCACTTGAAATGTTCTTCTCCAGTTCTGTTGGTGGAGCAAATGAGTTCTATTTCTGATTTACTTTAGCCACTAAGTGTAGTATTTTCATGAAAGCCCTTTGGAGTAATTGGAGTATCCTAGGAACTGAGACAATCTCCTATATTTTGGACAGTTACAATCTAGCCAGCTTATCGCCTATTATCCCTTGGCTACTACTTGCAACTCCAGAGCAAAGAATTCATTCCACAGAGAGCTGTAATATCAGTTAAAACCTCATCTGTTGGAGAATGCGCTGTCCAGGTTCATTGTCCAAGTAATTTTTCAACATGTGCTGGGGCTTTAAAAGCAAATGGAGGCAAGGGACATGATTTGAACTAGACCAGAGACTAGCCCTTGTTTAGAATTAGGTGTGGGTGGAGGAGACACCTCACTTTACTTTTCAGACATCATACTTTGATGCTTACATCAGGTTAAGGAAATAGCAAAGTGTCTTATTCAGACACCCTTTGTTGGGGAAGTGAATTGTGACTTATTTCATTTTCCCATATAAGAACAAACAAGTAAAACATTTTCTCCTTAGCAGGCAACTCGACCAAAGTTCATGGACATTTTTGTTATTTCTGCCCTTTTTTGTGTGTGAAAAAAAAAATCATGGAAGCATTTTCTGCAGAAAAAATAGAACACTGGGGGAGGAGAACTCTGGCATTTTGCACAAAATTCAAAGGTTTCTATGAAAAGTGCAAGGGTTTTTGCAGTAAATGTAAACTCTGGTATTTTGCACAAAATTCAAAGGTTTTTATCAAAAGTGCAAGGTTTTTGCAGCCACTGTTCTTTTGCTAACACTACTGCTGTTTAAAGTTTGGCGTTTCACTCCAAGGCAGGGGCAAGAAATCTCACAGTGGTAGGCCATTTATTATCTTCACATAGTGAGACATCCCCAGCCTTCTTTCCTTTTGTTTGTTAAAGGGGGGGGGTTTAAATTATCCATTACATCCTTAGCCCTTTTTTCACACTTTTCTTCCAAAACTGTTGTATGCTAATTTAAAGAAGCGATGTTACCATGTATTTCTAATAGAAGACATTTTCCAAATATATCTAAGTTGCAACGGACTGCATATAAACAAGAGTGAGCAGTTCATGGTCTTCCAGATGCTGCTGTGTTGCATTTCCTGTCAGCCCTAAGCCACCTAGTCAAGAGCAAGAAATGAGGGGAGCTGTAGGCCAACAGAAATCTAAAGGGCCACCTTTTCCTTCAGCTCAGCATATTATGTGGCAGACCCTGCTCCCACTGGTACATTACTGGCACAGAGATTTTCCCCACAGCAAATTCCTATTGTTCAGAGCAGCTTTTGGGCTCTCAAAATGCTTGAGTGATGTTGCTTGGGGAGTCCCAGCTCAAGCAAGGTATTTGGGCACCATGTGACATCCACTAATGGTTAGAGGCATTTTGTTGTATCATTTATTGAAGAACGTACCTATAGTGCATTTTTGTTAAAGAACAACATCTTAAAGCAGTTGGCAATAAAAACAACTTGATTAACAGATGCTGTATATGTTGTCCACACTTTACATCCTTATTGTGGGATCCGTTGGTGTAATAATGCTCTTGTCTGTCTCCACAATAGTCCTGCTTCCCATGTGAATCATGTATCAAAGCCATTGTATAATAAGGCTAGGAGAACTTTGGCCTTGTAGTTGGTTCTCAACTACAATTCCCACGGTCCATTACTGAGTAGTTCTAATGGCAGATATAGGCAAGGCCAAAAAACGTATGGAAAGCCACAAGGTTCCCCCACTTTATAGACTGGGGTGGGTTTTTAAATACAGACACCTGCTTTAAATCAGCTGCCCAGGTTATGAATTGCATTTTTTTTTAAAAAAAAAGAGCGCTTTCCCCTAATGCTCATGAAAACCAAGATCTGCCTAGGATTTATGTTCTTCGAAGAGGTGGTGATCAAAACCAGATGACATGGAAAAATGCCTCCAGCTGATTAACACTACAGTTTTGTTTTGTTTTAGTTTGAAGGTTGTTCGAAAGCCTATTCACGTCTAGAGAACTTAAAGACACACCTGAGGTCTCACACTGGAGAAAAACCTTATGTCTGTGAGCATGAAGGCTGCAATAAAGCTTTCTCTAATGCTTCTGACCGAGCAAAACACCAGAACAGGACGCATTCCAACGAGGTAAGTGTAACCCTTTGCTACACACTGGATGGGATTTGCAAACAAAATAAAGCTGCTGATAATACACACTTTGCACACAGGGCTTGTTTTTTAAAAAATAGATATAAAAAATCACTGCCATAATAACAAGCTGCTTTTTAGCAGTTGCTTTGCTGGAGAGGGACACCAGGTTTGCCTTACAGTTATGAACACAAAGCTAGAAACATTGAACAAGTAAGCAAACTTTTTCCCAAACCTTGAATCTGAACCCCCTGGGGCTTTCCGTATCCAACATCTCAGTGGCCCAAAATAACTCTGTTTGTGCTGTTGCAAAATGAAATCCACAGCATTGGCCGTCGGACACCTGGCCCTAAAGGACACGTGAGACAGAAGCACAAGGCAAATGCTTTCTTATGCCTTGCTAATGAAGATATTTTATTAGGAGCTGGGGGGAGGGCAGGAAATTGGCTTCACTGTTAAGCATGTGATGGTCTGCTGCAAATGGTTAGGGCCAGGGTTGAAATTTCTATTACCACTAATTAAGCAAACAGCAGGAATGGGGGAGGGATTCCTTAAAAAAAAAGGCAGCTGTGACCAGGGAGAATTTAGCCCCTACCCTTATTTGTAATGATTAATATGAATCATTGTGGGTAAGTAGAATGTAGGACTTTTAAAGTGACAGCTTTTGACCCACCATCTCTGGGTGGCATCACACCAGTTGTATCTCTCTGATATGCCTTCTTGTCAGTTTTGCATCTCCTCTGCCACCCTCACAATTTCTTTTTGGACAAACCAGATCTTGGATACGAGGTAATGCTTAGAAAACAGTGCACGTGGAAAATATGTTACAGGGACAAATTGTCTGTGACCAATGAGATGGATGGGTCAGGGCCAGCCGTGCCATTAGACAAAGTGAGGCAGCCACCAAAGGCAGTAGATGCAGAGGCCAGAAAATGATGGCAAGGTGCTAGATGCCAGAGATCTCTGTGCAACACCACCTCTTTTCGACACGACCTGCAGTTAACCCATTGCACTTTAATTCAGAGCAAGATGTACCATTGCCAAACTATTCGATTTCCAGATGTGGAATGGGGTGGGGCAGGGCCATCTTCAGGCAGCAAAAGGACTTTGGTTGAGCCCTGGTTGGTTTGGTGGCAGGAGGAAAGAAAGGGTGGCAAAGGTCCTGGCAACAACGGGGGCACCCTATCCTCTTTACGAGAAGCAGTAGGAAGGTAAAGGTTCTCCTTGACATTTTTAGTCCAGTCGTGTCTGATCCTAGGAGGTGGTGCTCATCCCGTTTTCATGCCGTAGAGCCAGCGCTTGTCCAAAGACAGTTTTCCCATTGAAACATTTTGCAATCGCAATAGCAATCGCAAAAACCTCATCGTGAAGCAATTTCATTGTCTACCAGTATAATCGTCAAGCGGGGCACCACTGTATTGTTGTTGGAACTCAAAAGAAGACATGTTGGGGGTCCAAAGGCTCCTAACAGCACAAGAAGTTAGAGACCAAAATTATAGACACAGTCGCCCTAAGAGAAGATAATGAAGCGTTCCTCCTGCTCAGGCCACAGCCATCATTACATAACAGTGGGGAGTGCTCTCTTGCGTCCTGCCCCCCCCACCCATGAAAGAAAGAGAACAAGAGCAAGCAGTGCCTTAACCTTGCTCTTGGTCAACAACTACTTTTTGCACAATGACCACACTGCGGAGGTAACAGAGAGAGACTGGCCTGAGTTCCATCTCTCCTTTCGAGTAGAAGGTCAGTTGAAACCTGTCTCTACATACCAGTCTTACCTCCAGCTAGGCCATGTGGGCAGAGTAGCTCACACTCTCTATGGTAGTATATTTGGCCCTCATACTTCTGTTTGTTTACCCCACTCAGATATTTGGTCCCAGTATCATGACCAAAACTGCCCCACCTCCTAACACGGGGAAGAGGATAGACACTTTAGATGGACATTTTATGTGGCTGCATCCCAGTTATGAAAACCCCTCCCCAAGACAATTGGGGTTGCCTCCTAATTGCCTAGGGACAAGTGTGTTCTGGTGAACCTTCCTGCAGTTGCTGCTCATCTCTGATTGTTTTTTTTTAATTGTCTCTGGTTTTATTCCATTTCGGCTTTACAGATTTTACTTGTTTTGTTGTTATTGTTTGCGCATCACATCAAGCACTCCAACTGATGGGACAATCCAAGAAAATCAATAAGTAAAAGTTTTGGAATTTCCTGGAAAAGTCAGAGGTAGAATGTTTATGGCAGGATCCTCGTGACTGGCCCCAGTGAGGTGGAAAGACAGGTGGTGAAGGAAATCCTTTATTTCTTGCTTTCCGGAATAAAAAGTCCAGACAATCCTTCAGACAGTGGACATAAACATCTGTTACCCAACTCCAGGGATTCATTCAAAACATTATTTTCCCATTTTATATTTTAACCTTATTTACCCAAATCCTGTGGAGTCAAAAGTGACGGAAATGTCCACTCTGGGGTGAATTTGAAGCAGTTTTGCTGTAGAGAGGTAGGGTCCTTTCATCATCTCCATCTCCTGTTCCGGTCAGACTGTGCCATGGCCCTTACAAAGATGAGCCAATGAATGGAAATTGTTCTGAATGGTGTAAAGCCCCATGTCCCTCAGAGCCAGGCAAAGAAACACGCTCACTTCTTGCGAAAGCCGGCAAAATGCTTATTCTTTGGATGGTTCTTTTCCAAGGTCTCCATGGAAAAGTACTTCTTTAAGCAGCTGCTAGCCTGAAATGTCACTTTTAATGAATCCAGCCCTTCAGAAACAGCACCATGGCTGTCTTGCTTTTAACCACATTTGTGCAAATGCACTTTGAATTTGGGCAAGGATAAATTGTGTGGGGTGGGAGAGTAGGGAAATACCTTCCTGTTTTCCTACTTCTCTCACCAGCTGTGCAGTCCTGACTTAGCTTATTTGTTCTGCGGTTATCAATGACTCATGCTTTCAAGAGTTACAGTATTATCATCTTCAAAAGCAGGGCATGCCTGTGGATTTCACTCTGCAGCATAACTGCCACCCAGCTGACAGGTGATGGAGATGCAAGGGAAAGATGATGGATTGTAAATCCGGGCTGGGCTGGCTTTCTGTAAAACAGGACGTCTTTTTCCCTCCAGGCCTCACATATTTCACAGAAAAGTTGTCTGGAAGACATGTCCTGCACATCTCGGCCACATCCTATGCTAATCCTCTTAACATTCCTGTGGCAACTGGAACAAATGCAAATCATGCCAAAAAATACTTTTAAGGCGAGGTGTTGGAGTATTTTTGGTAGGGACCCCATGACAATTTGCAGTGGTTGAGTTTTAATTCAGACTTCGCACATTTTTGGTGTAAAATATGGGCACGTCCATCCTTAGAGGTACTACAGGGAATATCAGTTCTGAGCAACTCAAAGGAAGGGGCAAAATCTGGGAGAAGAGGAAAGGGCCCCAGAATTATTGTATTTTAATGACCAGTACGAGCAGATTCAGAGTAAGGAAGCAGTTCTATCAGTCCATCTTTGAAGCTATGAAGCTGCTTGATACAAGCTTCATAAATTATGGCGCTCCCCAAAAAGTCTTCCCTTTCTCCATCATTCTGAGGGAAATGGTGAGAGGAATCAGTGAAATTAGGCTGCCAGAAGCAGCTTCACACCCAGTGGCCACCATGGATGCATTCAGACAATCAGTGCCAGTTCAAAAACAAAAGCGTCATGGTTGGACTATCCAGCATTAGCATGGAACGCGTCTGCCCCCAATACCACAAAAAGGCTGTCGTTCACACAAAATTGTCAACAAGAAATATGAGATAAATATTTGCTTCAGGGATATAACTTCAAAATTTTGGCTCTCATTGGCAGAAACCCTATGTCTGTAAAATTCCGGGCTGCACAAAGAGATACACAGACCCCAGTTCCCTCAGGAAACATGTGAAGACTGTGCACGGGCCTGAGGCCCATGTCACCAAGAAGCAACGCAATGACGTTCACGTGAGACCACCAGCGCTTAAGGAGAACAGTGACAACGAAGCAAGTGCAAAGCAGAGTGGCAAGGCGGCCGAAGAGCACGCTGAGGCAAACAGCACCACCAGGGGCACAGAAGACTGTTTACAAGTCAAAACAATCAAGACAGAGAATTCTGTGGTAAGAGGCACCCTTGCTGTGAAATGTTCATGATGCCCGTTCATTTGTAAAGTAGCCGGTGAATCATAATTAACCTTCCATTCCCACATTTACACACATCTTCCCAAATTTCACCCTTCAGGATTCACTAAGCTCCCTTACACTCCTATGCAATTTTTTTTTTGCATGTTCAGCATAGCACTTTGCATTTGGACACAGCTAAGGTCTTGCATACAGTATCCAAAAATTAAAAAGGAGGCACTGTTAAAGTTGGGAGATATCTCTTTGTTACATCTGGGAAACTGTTTTTCTTTGTGAATGACACTGCTGGTGACTTGTAAAATCCTGCTTCACTTAAAAATTGGGTGAGAGTTCCAGGAGCAAATCTGTTCTGTGGACTGGTACCCGATTGTCCTAAAATAGGTAAGAATATGAAAATTAACAACCTATGAAGCTGCCTTATCTGGAGTCCAATCAGAAGTCCAGCCCAGTATTACCCAGTCCATTCATATCTCTCTGAGGCCTTTGGTAGGTGGCTTTCTTAGAGCTAGTACTCTAGATGTAAGGTGTGAGAAGCCTTTGGACTACAATCCAAATGTGAATTATGATACTGTTTTAGTCAGACCTCCTTACTCTTCCCATCCCACACCCCTTCTGCTTCAACCTCATCTCCTCTGATAATCTCAGCAGCAAACCAATGGGAGACTATTCTGGCAATGAAGCTATGCTGTCAGCTTAGTAGCTTCTCCTTTCAACTGGGCTTCTTGACTGTTTCCTCTTTGGCTGTATTGCCAACACCTGTTTCTTAAGGGTGTTCAGCCCTTGCACTCTGCAGTTGGGAATCCAAATAGGGATTCCTGCATGTCCTTTTTACTCCTCTTTGTAAAAAAATGCGATGGGATGGGGGAAAGTATGCTGGCTGATACTCGGGGGAGAGAAGGGAAGAGAAGAAGGTATCGCAAAATACAGTGTGCCCGAATGTGACGTCAATATTGCTTTGTAAATGGATGTTTGTACCTGTGCCCGTGTGTATTCCCCCCTCTGCCACTCCTGTTTCAGTCTGAAGCATGCATGCATGGGCACACACACAGACACACACCAATCCTTTTAGCTGGACCTTCTGAAAACAGAGTATGTGTCCTGTTTCTCTAACTTGTGATCCCTCCATAGTCATCATACTTTCTGGCAACTATGTAGTCCAGATATACAGAGACCTTCAGATACATTATCTCAGTCCTCCATACCTCTGTAAAATAGGCCAGTATTTGCATACTCATGTTACAGATGACAGATTAAGGCCAAAAGGCATAGTTTTGGACACATAGTTCTTCATGGCAAAGAGGAGCTGAGAACCCGAGCCTTCTCAGTTCACCATTGGGTCTCTTAGCCAGTAGTGTCCAGAACATCCCTCTGATGTTGCCTCTTTCACTTTCCAAAGTGCCATGCAGTTGAATGCCTGACAGTGTTAGTAATTAATCATCTGATTTCAAGTACCCATATTTTTCGCTCCATAAGACGCACCTTTCCATAAGACGCACCAATTTTTTAGGAGAAGAAAACAGGAAAATATATAGTGGCCAGAACATCCCTCTGATGTTGCCTCTTTCACTTTCCAAAGTGCCATGCAGTTGAATGCCTGACAGTGTTAGTAATTAATAATCTGATTTCAAGTATCACATTTAAAAAGTAGATATTCTTTTACCTCTGTTGTGGCTGTTACAGTTCTACCCTTAGTTCTGCATCTCTTCTGCGAAAAATATGGTATCACATTTTAAGAAGTAGATATTCTTTTACCTCTGTTGTGGATGTCACAGTTCTACCCTTAGTTCTGCATCTCTTCATAGCTCCATCAATAGCCTCGGGTCTTTCCTTTTGTGTTGTCTGTGTTCTAACAACCTTTTCTTTCTCCTCTTTTAACCTTCTCTACTCTACTTCACAAGGACAGTCGGTACTAAGGTGAGCAAATAAACAGTCTTTGTCAAATCTCTCTGTACAAAAGACATCAGGTGCTTTGTCCTGTCGAGGTAGCTAAATAAATCCATAAATCCATACACATGTGTATTTTCTATAATTGTCAGGATAGAACATGTGTGGTAAAATAGCCACGTGTGGACTAAATTCCTATTATTCCATCTTTTTCATCAGGGCCATAACTAGGGTAAGACAAACAGGGCTTTGCCCCAAGGGGCCAACTTTAGACAGCATGCCCTTCTCCCAGATTTGCCAAGACTGGCCCGACAGCTTGGTCTACAGCCATAGGAAAAGACAGCAGCAGACCAAACATTGTGCAGCCTTTAAACCTGGTAGCCAGGAGTAAACAGAGGAAAAAGGTGTCCCAGTAAAGGTACGGCTATCAAGGCCTCAGTGGACTGTGCCTCTGATCTAGAAGAAGAGGCAGCATTCCTGTGGGCTGTGATGTAATAGGCAATAACTGTCATTATTCTTCACTATTGGCTATACTTATCTGCTAGGAATTATTTTCCAACAATATCTAGAGGGCCAAACATTATTTCCACTTGACGCACAGAACTTGCAGGTGAGTGGCATCACCTCCACCCAAACCCAATCTACAGGATGAAACTGACCTATTCAACTACATTTGGAAATAGGACCGCTGTCCCAGTTTGCACCAGTTTTCCGAGTGTCAAAAAAGTGAAAAGTGTGTTCTTTTAATTTAGGAGGTGTAATTCCAGTAGGAAAAATTGGTGGCCACAGTCAAGCAGTGCTGTCTTAGGGGTGGAAAGGATACTCTCTAAATTCTTCATGTTCATTTATATAAGATATAACAAGACACCTTGATGAGAAATTTTCAAGGCCCACAATATTCTTACCTCTAACCATGAGCAAGACAAAGAGCTTTTTTCCTCTCAAGATCTTTGGCATTTCTGTGTAAATGCCTCTAGGGCCCTTTTGCTTTAAGAAGCAAAGCACATCAGACACACGGCAGGCACAAAAGGACTAGCTGATTGTTCAGAAAGATGCAAAAAACCCATCTGGTGATTTCAGTTCTAAAACATAGCTCTAGTTATCCTAGTTTTCAGCAATGTGCAAATTGCATAGTTGGATGTAAGCAACATACCTTTTTCTTCAAAACACCATTCTTACTCAGTCAAGAATGCTGTGGAGACTGCAAAGAAACCTCTCCCCATACATAGTTGCAGTTCCTCCCCCTTCATTGTGAGGGTGATCCACGCAGGGAATCACGTTCTTGTGGCATTTATATATCATACGGCAAGAGTGGCAACCCACAAGTGTTGTAAAGGCTGATCATGACTTTGTTACATTTTTGCAAATATAGCCCTGCTGCAATGTCACTGTGCTATTACTGATCGCAAGATTTTTCATGTGCGATTACATCCCAGTATTGCTGTGGTGATTTCAGTATCGCTTTGGTACAGGATGCTCTTGTTAGCATTTCTTCACTGTCCAGTAAAGGTAAGAAAAAGAGCAGATTTTCCCATTCCATCCACAATTAGCCCTGCGACCTTATGAGGAATTCTGTTTCAGATTAAGACCAACTGACATACCTTTAATTGTGTTCACCCCTAATTGTGTTCTTTGGAATTGTTAACATTCTGGTTTGAAAAGCAAAGGAGGGCTTTAAACTAAAAGTTATCTGGCATTCCAATTCTATAGCCATCTATGATCAGCAATCATAAATCATCATTCCCAGGCCCGGGAAGGGGGGAGCCCTTCCTTTGAGCCAGAACAAAACATTTAGCCTTTATTGCAAATAAATTTACTTAATGTGAAATGTAATTCCTAATAAAAAAACCTTTACCAATCCTGACCCTGCAAATCATGCCCTTATCTGCCTATAAAGGCTGTCAGACAAGCATGTTAGGATCCTTTGAACCACAAGAAGTACACAGTGCCTGCAGCATTTGGGCTTGATTCTGCTTCAGATAAACAGGCTCACTCTGTAGAATTTGGGGTGGGAGAAAAAAAAAATCTACCAAATGTTCCAGGTTTATCTCAAAGAAGCATCAAGAGCTTAAGTTTCTTGAGTGAATGCATACAGAGCTTTGTTGCTAAAAGGAGGGGGGGAAATCCACCCTCAAGGCTTTTAGCTCCCTGATGTTTACATACCAGGGCTTGAAAAAGTCATAAAAATTAACTTAATCTCTTAAATCACTTATCTCATGAAAATCCTGTGTCCACGTTACTGTGCCATCACACTTGCGGACAATAATGGACACATTGGCTTTATCACTTAATGAGGATTTGTTTACACATAGGATAGCTCTGGTTTAAATTATATTTCATTGAAGCTTAGAGCTGTAGTATCTGTGTGGTATGGATTTTAATTCTTTTAATGCTTTGAGTTTCAATACATTAAGTAAAGTTCAGTAAAGTAAGGTAGATGTAAAGTTTTCTACTCTTCTCCCTGTCATTTTAATTCAAATCCGAAGACTGTTAACTCTGGGTATCTTATTTTACAGGATTAGTTAGGTAGATATGGATAATACAGCTGGAGCTTTGGGTAACTAAATACAGCTGGAGCTTTTGGTAACTAATGCACCAGTTGGAATAACTGGTGCATATATCAACTAATATACTGCCATCTCTATAATCCAATATCCATGCCAATGAGTGAAGAGAATGTCCTGAACAAAAAGAACTGTCTTTTTCACTTCAGTGAAATTACAATAATCCCTGATAAAACTATCATTTCTTTTAGTTTACTTTGAACTTTTTAAAATATCCATTGGGGGGGATATTTAAAACCACTGCTGCATTACATTCTGAATTTGCCTTCTGGGGACCAAAGGACAGTATTTTCTCGCTCTTTGAGGCATCCCTCTCCTGCTGAGTCTCGTTGCTCAAGCTGTTCAAGAAGGGCCCTAGCCTAAAAAAAAACCCGAGAAGAAGAAGGGCCCTAGCCTCCCACGTAACGTTTTCTGGGGGGTGGAGGGCCTGCCAAGTGGAAAAGGCAACAGGGAAGGCCTCTTTTGTGAACCCCGTGGCACACATCCAATCTGTTTTCATGTATGTGTTTTTCATAATTTGAAGTATGCATGCTGTTTTAATAATGGCCTTCACCATTAAAAGTTTTGTTTGCCCTTTCTTTTGCCTCCAATAAAATGTAACAGGATAGGAAATTTTATTTTATTTTTAAAACCAGCATGCTTTTTGTCTGCAAAATCAGAACACTAGATCTGATGTGAAGACGCTTCAGGACTACCTGAAAACTGGTGCGCGGGAGCCACCACGTCTAATCAGATTAAATGACAGTATTTAGAAACACGGGAGAGCACACAGAGAGGCAATGACTGTAAAGGAAAAAATGGGGCCAAGAAGGAGCATCCGCAGAAACAAAAAGGGGTCACAACTATCCAAATGTTTGGCAGGGTGATTTTTTTAAAAAAAAAGTTATAAATCCTTTGGCTGCCCTCATTGTCCAAACGTTAAAAGTGAATCATAACATAAGAATATTTTGAGCAGATGGAGAGAAATCTCAGACTTGTTGAGATTTTCTCCTTTCTCTTTGTCTTCCTAAGATGTATCAGTCCAGTCCTGGTGGCCAGTCATCATGTAGCAGTGAACCGTCACCGCTTGGAAGCACCAACAACAATGACAGTGGAGTAGAGATGAACATGCACAGTGGGGGAAGCTTGGGGGACCTGACTGCGTTGGAGGACGGCACTCCTGTTGTGGACTCGACTGTCTCATCTGGCAACTCAACCATCAGCCTTCAGCTAAGGAAACATACGACCACAATGCAACGCCTAGAGCAGCTCAAGAAAGAGAAACTCAGGACAGTGAAGGATTCTTGCTCGTGGACCAATCCAGCACCGCAAGTCAGAAACACCAAGCTGCCTCCCATCCCCGGCAGTGGTAAGGCTGTCTACTTTTTGATCATCAACCACTGTTGTCTGAGATCCTTTGAGCATTGCCCCTATTGTCTAGTGCAGTGGTCCCCAACATCGGGGAAATCCTGGCCAACAGAAGTAGTGGTGAAGGCTTCTGGGAGTTGTAGTCCAATAACATCTGGAGGCCCAAGGTTGGGGACCACTGGTCTAGTACATATATTTCTTCCCCACCTGAACTCAGATACGGGGTTTGAAACCAGAAATGCAGCCATGTCCCAAGCATGGCATATGAAATTCCATTTCCCCTTCTTGGTCTTCAAGTTTAATAGCACATTGCAGTACTGTCCTAGCTTCCCTGGCCATACACGTTTCAGATGGGAAGCTTGGATTCTCGCTTAAAACAGAAGGGTGTCCTAAGTGTGCGCAACAACTTTTGTTTATTTCACTCTTAAAAGCAAATTGCATTGCATTGCATTGTACTTAAAGACTGGTCCATGTATCAAATCGCTACGGATGTTTGGGTTGCAGGGAGCGACTGGATTTTAGATCTCTCTTGGCCTGTGGAAATCAATGTGGAGATTGAACTGGCAGTCGAACTTGTGACACAGAATTGTCTTGTGAATATGTGTTCCAAATTTTATTCTGATTGAATATGAGCGTAAATTCAGGTATTTCACTAAGGTCCAAGACTCTGGATGGGAAATGAATTGCTGATCCACTGTAACTCAACAAGGACAGAATAAACCCTGCCTAAGGAAGCTGGCTATTTAAATCTAGCCCTGTAGAGAGAATGCCCTTTCCATTTCTAAATAAATCTCCTACCTCTGTCAGTTTTTCAATCTATTCTTTTCACTCTCAGGCTCAGAGGGCAATCTGAATGATCAGTCAGGACATTTGTTTCAGTGTAGGAATAGTATAGTAATCCTTTTGTGGCCAAAATGCTGTTGCACAGTTACACAAAAGGTGGTACTTTCTGAAGCAAATTGCCATAAATTAAGAAATCTCCTTAGGCATTATCTGTTGCTCACCAAGTTGTGGAATCCCTGCTGAGTCAGGACTGGATGTGGGAGGTCCAAAAGAATAGCAGCCTATTGGAATGAGCTGTGAATTATATATGATGGCAACATACAGTGGAGTAACTAACCATAATAACCAACTGTATTGTAATCATCTCTGCAAAGAAAAAGCAACAGTGATTGCGGTGACTGAAAGAAAATGTTCAGCTCTCTGTTAAGGTAATTCCCTTCATTTACGACAACTGGAAACTCACCAAATAATGTGCAACCTCCTGAGTTCTCCAGAAATCCTCCTCACAGCAAGAGGTACAAATGCAAAGGAGACATGTGTGTGACGATCAAGAGATGGAGTTTACATCCAGCAAAAGTCTTGAGATGGGCTATAGACAGAGAGTGCACATATTCAAATTAAACTCTTCCAAATACTGAGATGAAGTCCAGTTGTACCTAAGCTTTGTTAAGAAATTGGCTCATCTTTCTATATCTTCAATATCATTTTTCACAACTGATGAATTGTACTTATTTCAGCAAATCACTGTGGCCAACATAGTTTTCACTGTGATCTAATCCAGACCTCAGAAATTATTCCTCAGCTGGTTCCTTGTGCTCATTAAATGGGGAATTCCATAGCAGTCGTTTTTCATTGACCTCTTCCTTGGCTGAAAACAGATGAAGAATTGAGAACAGAATGACAGAGCCATCTTTGTCCATGGTGCATTCGTTTGTCCTATTCGCTGTCTCTCATCAAACAGCTTTGGTGCATGTCTTTAAGACCCAGCAAACCTGCAAAACGTACTTGATGTAATTGAACAATGGAACAAAAGATACGAATTTACACAACCATAGGAAACAATGGCTCTGTCATAGCAGCTTCACTTTTTCCCAACTTTTGTTGGCCACAGCCTCTATAAAGCCCTCCTCTTAATAACCTGAAAATACTTTACCTCCGAATGAGTGATCTCAGTGGGACCGACAGATGGTTTTCAGAATTTCCTGAAGGCCTTGGGCAACACTCCCAAGGCTGTGAGGCTAAAAGGTGAGAGATGTGGTCAAAAAGGTCAATTTGTACATTTAATACTTTTTTTAATTCAATGGTATGTACTGTAAAAATTGCAGCCCAAAGTCCACATGTTGCTTGTTTCATTGTACGTGAAAGATGTACAGTATACATACCACACACATATTTGGGATGCTAGGAGAGTGCATTCAACTAATAAGCAAAGTACAAGCAATGGTGCTTCTTCTGCTATCACTGACCAAGTCTTTTCTTTTTCTTTTCTAATTCAGGCTGTCTGCTGGACAACATGGGAGGTGCCTCCACGGCACTACCTAACCCAAGGATAGCAGAGCTGTCCATCAATGAGGTGACAACACTGAACCAGCTAGCTGAGCGCCGTGACAGCTCAACCAGCACCATCAGCTCTGCCTATACGGTTAGCCGCAGGTCATCAGGGATATCCCCGTACTTCTCTAGCCGTCGTTCTAGTGAAGCTTCGCCATTTGGAAACCGCCCAAACAACACAAGCTCTGCTGACTCCTATGACCCTATTTCCACAGATGCCTCTCGCAGATCAAGTGACGCCAGCCAATGTAGTGGGATCCCAGGGCTTCTGAACCTGACGCCAGCTCAACAGTACAGGCTGAAAGCCAAGTATGCTGCTGCCACTGGTGGCCCTCCACCGACACCACTGCCAAACCTGGACAGAATGACTCTAAAGAATAAGATCTCTCTCCTTGATGGAACAGAGCCTGTTTTGCCTTCATTCCGCCTCCCTCCTGGGCCAAGACGCTGTAGTGATAGTAATGCATATGGCTATGGGACACCACCCACATTTGCTCATGAAGTGCAAGGAAATAGCACAAGGCGTGCAAGTGATCCAGTGAGGAGACCTGGTGGAGACCCAGCTTCCCTCCCTAGAGTCCATCGTTTCAACAGCACCAACACCATGAACCCCCTTCACCCTTCTGCAGACAGGAGGAACTTCAGCCTTCCAAACTTTTCACGTGCCGATGGAAGCCTCCCCAGGCATGCATATTCTCCACGACCTCCAAGTATTACTGAAAATATTGTTATGGAAGCCATGTCTGGTGAGACAGATGGTTGTGTTGGAGATGATGATATTGTGCTACCTGATGATGTTGTGCAGTATATCAGATCACAGAACAGTGGGATGGCTGCAGATAACTCTTCTGTAGGGTATGGCAATGAGATGCCGAGCTTCCAAGTGAATGGAAAAGTGCAACATAACAACACTCTAAGCCAACGCAGAATGGCAGTTCCAGATGTGAGTGTGAATCACCAAGCTCCCAGCATAGGCGGATGCCAAATGAACTTTGAAGCTAACTCTGAATTGAGCAAAAACAACATGCCAGTCCAGTGGAATGAAGTTAGCTCGGGCACAGTTGATGTGTCCTTGGATCAAGCAAAGCAACAATTCCCTCAACGAAATTTAGCTGTAGTCCATCAGAAACAGAACTTTGGCCAGTATCAGAATTTCAGCCTTCCACAGATGCAAATGGGTCAAAACAACATGAATGTTGCTCAACAGCAGTTTGTGCAGAAGAATATAAGTATGGATGGGCAGAGGTTAAATTGCATGCACTTAAGGCAGCAGCAGGGGAATCCAGGTCCTAGTAACAATCCGGATTTGAACTCACACGAGGTATACAATCAGATTCACCAGATGCTGAGCCCAGATACAATGGGCAGTGAGCTCAACCAGCTTTCTCCTTCATGTAATCACATGATGGTGAAGCCTGCGTCTCATGTCCATGTACAGCCATTAGATACAATGGCCGATCCAGTTGCAATACTCAACAATAACAGAGAATGCATCATGCACAATCAGGGGATGCAAGAACCAGGGCATCAGCAGGACTTCTCTTCACAGTCAAGACACGTGAACTTCTCTATGACACAAGAGATCTTCCCTCAGCCATCAAACCCACCGAACTTTGGGCCACAACAGGAAATGATAAGTACAGTTGAGCAGAGTTTCACTTCTGGTGCAGTACAACCCCATCCTCCACCTAATCCCAGTCCAGCAAACAGATACCGAGGAATACGTGCTACACAACAGCTGGGTTACATGAGAACAACTCAAGCAACTAACGTTGTGAACCCAGGGCAGGAAACAGCAGGATCCACCTCCATGAAAACAGGTGGCATAGCATTATCACAGCCGCAACAATGTCACAGTAGTATGAGGGGAAACCATTTGATGCACTATTATGGTCAAATACACATGTATGAACAAAATGGGAATGTTAATAACCACACTGCAGACTGTGCAGTAAGGCAGCAGCAGCAGTGTGCGCTGAACATCAAGCCAGTTGGTGTGCCCTCTCCTGGAGCTAATCAAGTGTCTAGCACTGTGGACTCTCACATCCTGGAGCCTCCTCAGATAGATTTCGATGCCATCATGGATGATGGTGACCATTCAAGTCTCATGTCAGGGACCCTGAGCCCGAGCATCCTACAGAATCTCTCCCAGACCTCCTCTCGCCTTACCACTCCCCGAAACTCTCTGACCCTGCCATCTATACCCGCTGGAATTAGTAATATGGCAATAGGAGACATGAGATCCATGTTGACCACCCTGGCAGAAGAGAGTAAATTTCTTAACATGATGTCTTAATGCTTAAAGCACAACTGACTAGATGTATCCAAGAGATTACATGCTAAGCAATTTTATGAATGTGCTTTAAAAAAAATCCATAGGGTAGACTCTCTCTCTCTCTCTCTCTCTCTCTCTCTCTCTCTCTCTCTCTCTCTCTCTCTTTTTTTTTTTTTTTTGCAAGTATTAAATACATTAAAGGGATTCCAAATAAGGAAAAATGTTTCTGTACAAACTTGTATAAACTGTAAAAAGAAGAAGAAGAAGAAGAAGCACTGAAAGAATGCACCGCTAGTGTTATTTTGTGCTTGTTCTTCAGAGCTCTCCATCCTCATTCTGGAACATACCTCTCGTAAGTGTCTCTGTAAAAGATAAGCCGCATTTGGCATTATTATGTTTTTTTAAAGATGCCCACCACCACTGCTTCCCTTATTCGTTATCCTTGTTTGTATCTCATTGTTTCAGAACCATGCAACCTCTGAAGTAAATGAGACTTTGCCAAATCTGGAGTACAAGACATACAAGTGTTATAATATTGAAACCCACTGTTTCAAATGAAGCTCTGCCTTGTAAACAGCATGCTTTGCTATGACCTTTCGGTTTTTCCTTGGTTGTTGCAGAAAAAATGCAATTTCTTGCCTCACCCCAAACGCAAAAGCCATACTGTGGGTGCTTAACACTTAATGCCTCATTTTATGACCAGATGTGCACCACACGCACACACTCTCATGCACGCATACACACAGCATTGTTTATACAGCCAGTGTTGCTCTGTGTACCTTGCAGCTTAGCTGAGAAGCATCAACTTGAGAACAGTTTTGCAGTGAAGTGCCTTACTGTGTGTTAGTCGTTGAATCGTCAAGGCATCTCTTGTCCATTAATGTCAAATAAAGTGTATCGCCAGGAGCATGTATAAAATAAAGGGGCATTTATATCAGGCATTGCAGAATTGCTAAAAAAGATATTTGAGAGGGACACGTTGATGTGAAAGATTAATGCCCTGGTTGTTTTATCAGAGGGTATTTTTACAAGGTGGTTTATATCATGGAGAATGTAGTGGAGGTTAGAAAATGCCACTAATTTAGAAATATGTCTCGTAGGAGAAAGGTTGCTGCTCTGCATGGCATTGAATCATGCTTTAAAGAATGCAGAATACTCTTAGGTTCAATTAACGTCATGCTGGAGCTGAAAGTAGAGAGAGGCAACGTCAGAGCTTGTTAAACTAAGAGCTTTCAGAAGTAATGGCACAGAAATTTTGTGAACCTTTTCATTATCAAATTCACAAAAAATTTGTTGTAAGCTACATGAGACTGCTTAGCCCTGAGTGATGCTCATGTTGTGCATGTCCAGGTTTCTTTGTGATCTTGGGAGGTCACTATATTTTTGGGCCTCATCCTTCATTGAAAGGTTGTTGTAAGACTGAAACAGTACTTCTCGAGTATCTTGGAGAAGAGGCTGCAGAGAAGTAAACAGTTTTTTTTTTAAGAACAATAAAGATTAGTGCAATGGGCACATCCATCCTGCCTCACAAGAGCAAATGGCTTTGTTCTTCTTTGCAAGCTTTATTGCCATTGTGCAATTAAATGGTTGTGAGTATACTTGCCCACTAAGAGGCATCCACTTCCCAAGTATTATCAAAGAGCTGTCTCCATAGGTGCCACAATGCCAACCACAAGATGCAGAGTCATCTCCCTGTTGTAGCAATTGAGGGCCTCAAGCATAAAGCAGAGTCCACTTCATTCAGTGAAAAGTACTTCTATGACAGAATTATATTAAGCAATCCATGCAAAACAATATTTGCTTAGTTTTTTATGCCTTTCAGTAACTAAGGTTTATTTTCCAGTCCTTTTTCAAACATGCAGTGCTGCTGAAAATTAGGAAAACAGGCAAATGTTATTTAACGTCCAAGATCCCAATCCAGGAAACGATTGTTGAAAGCGTTGCTCCTGAAATTTGCAGCAGGGATCTGATATGAGGGAAACTTCAGAAGTCCAGCACAGAAACTGGTGTGGGTACTTAAAGGAGCTGACGACATTGGATGAATTAATCTGCTCAAACCCAAATCATTGCCATCCCACAGCAAGTACTTCTGCACCCATCTACCAGATTTTAAGAGTTATGCCTAATGGACTCTGCCAATGTTCTACTACCATCACCACAACAACAGATTTGCCCCCTCGTCTCTGCAGCCCCTCATGCCCTAAATCAGTTGCAGAAGGATGAGGAGCCCCTCAAAGAAAATGGAGGGCACAAGAAGAGAAGAGAATGTCCCATTAGACAAGTGTCCTTGCCCTTCAGTGATGCTGGAGGTAGCTCTGCCTCTTATTACATATATTTTTCCTGTAGCACAGTTGTAAAAGGTAAAGCACAGATGTGAAAGCATAACATGCAGTAATATCTCTGTTTTATGTACGTGCATACTGTGATCATGGTAACATAGTCCCACTGTTTGAGGAAAAAGCATTAAAAATTTAAGAAATGTTAAAACGTTTATATGTTAAGAAAATGTGGATCCATGTTCTCTTTACTCATTGTTTTGATCAGCATGCAAAATAGGAGTCAATATATTAAACCATCCCATGCGGTCCTTGTCAGTATCACGCAGGTGTCCTCACACCTTCACAGCACAAACGAGATCATCTATAGGTGACACTGATATAAACCAGGGCTATCATGTAAGGCTTGACATGCAACCAAGATGATTATGATGGTCCAGTTGAGGACTATATTGGTCACACAACTCATACCCATGTGTTTAGCCTCCACATTGAGCAAGGGACTCCTATGAATGATGCCTCTATGTGACTTGTTTGCTTACTCAATGAAGCTTGTGTGAAGCTATGCATATCGTCCCAGAGGGAGCACAGGACACCAAAAGTGACTTCCAAGAGAGAAGAATAGCTAAGGAGCTCACTAGTCTTACATCACGAGAGGAATAGAAAAACAAACAAACATGTATTAGGCAATACAACTTCGTCAATACATGGAACAGCTGATTATAGGTAAATGGTATCCAGTCTCCAAGTAATGCTTGTCCTAGTTTTGGTATCTGTTGCCACAAGGAAGGATTTGATCTTCATGTCAAACAGCTTTCAGGGGGCCAATTTCTGCATCTGTTTTATATCTGTTACCAGTTCCTATGAACTTACATGCCTGCATCCTGTAAGAAGGATTCACACTATTTAAAAATGGCAAGACAAATTCGGTAATGACTTCAATTAGTTCTAAAATTGACATGAAAATCGGACACGATTAGAAATTCCTTTGAAATCAGTGTAGAAATTTAATACATGGTATGATTTTCTCACTTGCAAAGGAGGATGTGAGACCCATAATTTGGGGGATAAGGTGAGTCTAAAGTAAGTAGGGTCTTCTGTGCACTGCAATACATCCTGGCCTTACTCAGCTTCAGGCAGGGCAAGAATATGAAAAAGCCATGACTTGTGAATAAAAGTTGCTGAAGTGAACTGGGTTCCCATCCTCTATTGGCACAATTGTCATTCTTAGGAATTTTTACAGTCCTTTCAGGGCTATGATTCCTCAAGCAGTAACTGTGAACTCAGAGTGGCTTGGTTGTGTGAGTCGTGATCTATGAACTTTATTCCTCATGGCACAGAGTTAGAATAGTAGAGTGCCAAGCCTATGTTTTGGACATCCCATGAGTTAAATTGATCAGAACATTGCTTGATGGCAAGGATATAGTCTGTCAATTGCAAAAGGGAGAAGTGAATCTACGTGACCATGATTTTCTTCAGCTTTACAATGGTGGTCTTCCTTTATTTGCTGTACTGGTATCATAACGGCAATACTGGCTCTGTATATATTCTGTATAGAAAAAAGCATTCATTATTAATAAGAGTACTGTAGCTGAATTGTTCTGACTTTATATCTTCAGGACCTTTTTAGCTGTTTTCTATTATCATATGGATGGCAGTCACATGTTGAACTGTATATAAATGTTTTGTACATTAAAAAAGTAATTTCTTTTTCATAATTGCTATTTCCTATTGTTTGTTCTTATTCACTCACAGCAGAAATCATTGCTGTTTACTCTTGTTTGTTCTTATTCAATCTCTGTCTTCCTCCTTGCTTTTTCCTTTTTCTTTCCCTCCCTTTTTTTATTTCTGTAAGGCAGGGCTGGTACCACACAGTCCTGCATACTGGGAACAGCTGTCTTTATTGAATTTGGCCAGTGCAAATGGGTGAAGAATCTTACTCCAATTCATTTTGAATAGCTTATAAAAAGGCACATAGTCAGAAGAATGGGAAGATCCTGAAGTTCTGAGGAGATCAAATACGAGAGAAAACAAAACTTAACAGACATTCCCCCAGCCCTAAGTACAACACATTAGTGGCAAAACTTTCTAAGCTAATGGGAAGGGTGCTGTTTATAAAAACCATTGCTGGAAACAATCTGGTATTCATTCCATATTCTGTCTGGCAGTGGCTTGCTAAACTCAAGCAGAAAGCTCTGCCAAAATTGGCATCTCTTAACTGTACCGAAGTCTTTCTGCATATGATTCAGGGGTCAACAACTGAGCTATGGCTGCTTACCAAAGGGGACATACTTCATATTTTAGACTTGGTTAGTAACACATTTGGTCATAACAGAGTTCAGAACCTGTGTCCTTCCCGTGATCAGTGCGCTGTAGTTCCCACTAGCATGAACCAATACAGCCACTGGTGAATAATGATGAAAAATACAGTCCAGCAACAGCAGAATGCCACACTATCTCGATCCATGGGGTAAAGTAAGATGCTTGGCAAATAGGAGTTGTGGGATGACCCCGGGAATTAGTCAACTTCATGGCTAAAAGCTTCTTCTTAACTGATATTAATGAATGTCTCTCATTCATCCGTGGTTTCCTATTTAAACCTAAACTATGACAGCATATGTGTCAAAATCTACAGCCCTAAACTTTGGAGCCTCCTTGTACTCCAGCCATGAGTAGTCCTGCTGGTACCCCCTTGTCCTGTCCTACCTCAACAGCACCTGTTCTTGCAGAGCCGTTTGTTCCATTTGGAAGACAGGCTGTGTTGTAAATCAGCCAAACCTTCTGTATTGTAGGGATGGCAATTTATGACCAACCGAGGCCT